ATATAGCTATCTAAACCACTTTTGTAATTACCAATGCTTAATGGTGACTTGACAACCAGGATTTCTGGAACAAAAAAGAAACAGTCTTGGACAGGTTCCTTCTGGAGTGATGCCTCTGACCTGCCAGCTCACGTCCCTTGATTTACTCCATTTTTTACTCCTCTGTACATCTTTTTCTCTTGTATATTTTTCCACCTTTAGAATCTAAAGGGGCCAGATTTGACTGCACAGTAAATCTTTGTGTTGCATCAAAGGGGTTTGATAAAGAAACGTCAAGGGGAAGGGTCCTTCCCGACACAAGAGCTTTCAAGCCATGGCTCTCCTGGACTGTATATAATGCCCTGTGAGCTAAGAAACATGTATATGAACTGGATCCTCTGCTGGACAGGGTGGGGAACTTGTATTTTGTCCAATATGTAGGGGGCTTACTGCTGATTCTTACAAACCACACATTTCATACATTAAACTTTGAAACTGCCAATCAAAAACAAATAGGTGAAGAATACCGTGAGCTTGACTAAAGAACCCAAAGAGACAGGTATTTAAAATTACAGCATTAATCACCAGACTTCTTCATGATGTCAGTTTTGAGTTTGGTTTGTAACTAAACACACTGTAAACCCACCTTGTCACTGGGCAATATAAATACCAGAACCAGGGTGAGTAACCCCACTGTGAATCAATCTTTCTAAACACTTCTGACTTTCAAGTTCGAATTTGGCAGTAGCACCCACGAGCAATTTTTATGGTTCCAGACTGTGTTTGCCATGGTATAGTAATAACTGCTCAGCCCTAAGTCTAAATCCAGATTCAGGACACTCTTTCCACCTCAAGTGCTGATTTAAATTAAAGATTAGGGTAGAGTGAGTCTTGCACAATACAATTTCGTTTGTTGAACATTTTTTAAATGTATATACTAGATACTGAACTATTAAAGTGAACCTTTGAAGAGTCTCAAGGTTGCCCTGGTAATGCTGCTAGTATAGTAACAGAAAACATAATAATAAAAGAAATACACAGGGTATCTGATGCCACCTCGAGTCAAGTGCAAACTTCACAGTTCTGAGACCACATAACATAATTGCTTATTCTAGTCTTCTGTCCTAAAAACCCTGGTGCAGATTTAATAGGGTCCTTAGGAAACTTCAAGGTTGTCTTCATCATCAATGTTCTTTCATTTTCCTATTCTCTGCTCCCATCCCAGTCTGGGTTTCATATGGCTCCTGTGGAGTACCATGTTCTACAGCTGGGTGTCTAACCTTAGTTGCACTAATATTTGAGGCCAGATAATAACTGGTTGGTGGGGACTGTGCTGTACTCTCCTAGGATGTCCAGCAACATCCTGTGGATTACATCCACCAGATGCCAGAACATCCACCTAGTTGTAACAGTCAAATGTCTCTAGACATTGCCAAAGGTCCCCAAGAAGTATGGGTAGGGGCCTCACCTGGCTGAGAGGCTGTGTCATTCGGTGGTGTCATTTCTGCCATGTGTCATGATGGGTAGCTCTGCATGCACATGTGACTTTGTTGAGCCCCTGAGCCCTTTGGATCATGCACAGAGAGCAACCCCAGGGTCAGTCTCCTCCTTATCAAGTGATGCTTCTAAGACCCACTTTTTGGACACCAGTTTCTTTAGTGTCATAAGTTGGCTTTTTCATTTAAAATCATCTGCCTCTCAGTCCTGGAAGCATCTCCTATCATCAAGAAAGAGTTGTCATTTCCAAAATTAATGTGTTGACAAGTCGGACCTGACACTTTTACACACACTGTGCTTGTGTTATGATACAAATAACCCTCCCAGTGGCATCCGAAGAAGAACACCCAGCCGCCTTCCTTTAGAACACCAATTTGCTGCAAGGTTGGTGCCTTTCAGTTGCCACCATGGATACATCATAGAGACAGCCATGAATCATTCACAAGCAATTCTGCATGATTTATGCCTGCACTCAAAAGCAAAGGCATTCCACACTTCAGCCTGTGTCTAGACAGAGTGTATTACACAGCTTTTTTAGTCCTGAGGTTGCCTGTTGCCAGCTCCAAAAATCTACATTCTTGGAAAGAAATAGTAATAATTAGTATAATAAGTGATGGGAATAAGATCTGAAACTCAGAAAATACCGTTAATAGAGCCATGTAGCACACACCCTTATCTATTATTAAGGTGTTCCTATGTCCTTGTTAGAAAACAGAGAGAATGTGCAATTGGGGAGCCGAGCCAAGGTACAAAAATTTTGCATCAAAGTCTTGACACAGTGAAAGACACAGCAAGAATTTGCTAGAATGGAGTACCACATCTGAAGGCACTCTCCAGAGAGTTTGCGATGGGTAGCTGTTCAACGGCCTCTGTCACATGCTCAAGAGGGGGCTTTCATTGTCGTTCTTCGGTTTGGGGCTTGTAGGTTTGTTCTGTTCATTTGGTCTTTCAGTTTCACTACAAGTTGTTTCTTTAAGATTTCCTAGAACTGACTTTTCTCCACCTTTAGGGAGAGATGAACATATACTGTGAGAGAATTTCTATAACCCAATAAACATATAACAACTTCCTTCTCCCCTGGTCATTGAGAAATTCTTTCCCAACTCTGAACATCAGAGCTTTTTCTTCCGGTTTTGTCTTTCTGCTGTTGCTGTTGTTGTTTACGGTTTCTTTTCTTTTGGAGGCTTTGATCTTGATCACAGCCACACTGTCCCCTTTGCTACCATTCTTCCTCTGCTTTTGTTCCCCACTTTAACACAGCTATGTTTGAATAAGGGATCGCCACCCTGTTTGTCAGCTGATGCCTGTTAAAACGGATTCAGTTTCTAAAATCTTTGAAAAATGGTGTGCCTGAAAACTAGTGAGAGAGAATAAAAACATTAAATATGAAACTGTAAAAAGGGGGATTCTAGCAACAATATTTGATGTGTAAAAGAATATATTATTAAAAAATTATTTTGTTAAATATAAAGTGTGTTAACCAGCGAACATTGTTTGTTGTATAATTTCCTTCCCAAGTTTCTCCTTTCTCCACCCGTTCTTTATTTAATAATGAACTCTTGGTGACCTCTATCATCTGAAAGCAACTGTGTCATTAGAGCTGTAACCAATTAGAATTAAGCACTGACTCTAGTATTTGCCTGTGTGCATTTTCATTTTTCAAAATGAGGCAAGGCTGACATGGAGGTCAGACAAGAGGCCCAAATAAACCAGCTGTGAGAGTATAAATGGGAGGGAAAAACCTTTTCTCACTCCACACTCATTTTCAACACCAGTGATGAGCTAAACTTCTTGAGTGTTCACACATGCCAGGCACTATCCTGAGCTCTAAGAGCACAGCATCAGGTTCAATCTGTACAACACACCTAGGAGGAAGGAGCTCTGCCTGTGCTTTAGGACTGAGAAAACCAGAAAGTATCAAGGTCAAACATTTGATATAACATAATATAGGAAGTGACCAAGCAGGAATTCATTATAAAAAATTTGAAACACCAAAGTCAAGAAAATAGTGTGCAAGTCCCCCATTTCCTTATTGTCCAGAATCAACAATTACCAATATTTTGAGGCTGTTTTCTATCCATAGTATAAACTATGTATCCCTTCACCTTTCAAACTTGCAGTAGTCATCGCTTTAAAAACAGTGGTATTTTCTTATAGAACTGTATTATATATTATCAAACCAAACAATATTAGTCATGCTTAAGTACCATCCAATATCCTCTACATGTTCAATTTTTAAGATTTTTTTAAAGATATTTAAGTCTGGTTTTATAATCCAATATTATATTTCATTGGCATGCCTCTTAAGTTCGAAATAGAGATTTGAAACTTGCCAACTACTGCTAGAAACTGACAAAATCCTAGGCTTGTTGTTATTTGAAGATTTGTGCTGGGCCTACTATTCTTTTAATGCTCCATACTGAACTCCCTCCTAGGCCCTCAGACTTTCCACCAGTTGACTTTCAAGGGGTGACAAAGAAGCCCAGAGCAATCACGACTGCTGCGGCCAACACCCAGGGCATACACCTTTACCTTTTCTGTGCACAAACTTTCCTCACAGAATAAAAATGAACTGTGCGTTTACACTGCCTAAAGCAAAGTGAAATGAGCAATATTTTATAATTGGCATCATTTTCTGAATTACTAGAGAAATGGAAAACCATACAATAAGAAAACATCAGCATGGTGTCCCTAAACATAAAAATATACACCATACTACACCAACATTTCATGAAACAAGACTAGACTTTCTTGCATTTAAATTTCCCATACATCCAATTTTCTATTCCCTGTACCCACTCATAAGGGATAGTTTGCATTTCAATTCAATCCTCAAAGTTTCACAGAGCAGGCACCTCAGACTATAAGAAAGTATGAACAAAGGCAGAGTCCTGGATTTGTTAATGCTATTTGAAGTTTATATTCAGAATATCACTCTTCTAATGAAAGTTATTTACATGATTTTGAAAGACAAAATCCTATCTCTGAGCCACCAACTCACCTGTACTTTCTTACCGTTTTTGCTTTTTCTATCTCTGAGCCACCAACTCACCTGTACTTTCTTACCGTTTTTGCTTTTTCTATCTCTGAGCCACCGACTCACCTGTACTTTCTTACTGTTTTTTTCTTTTTCTATCTCTGAGCCACAAACTCACCTGTGCTTTTGTACCATTTTTTTTCTTTTTTACATTGTATAGGATTGACACCATTATCCATGATCCTCAAATTGTCCTGTACAGAATCTCCTTGATCAACCTTATGTACCCAGATGGAAGACAGACTGTACATAAAATGAAAATTAAATGAATTGAATTTGGGACCAGGGAGACAACTCAGTTGATAAAGTGCTTGCCCACACAATTATAAGTATCTGAGTTCAGATCTTCAGGACCCATGAAAAAAAGCAGAACATGGCCACGCTTGGTA